TAGTTTTCTGTTTTCAGTTGTATGCACAACCATAATGTTTTTCTTGAATAGGTGTGTCAACCATTGTGGTTCCTCAGTTTCTCTTATTTTTATCGTCCTACATTCTCAGACAGTTAGTGTAGTGTCGGTTTCAAGGTTCTATGCATTTGACGAAAGTTTCGTTTCCTTATAAGAAAGAAAAGTGCAACACTAAAGAATGGCTCCAGCCGTCCATTTATCCTTACATTCTGCAATGTTGTTGCCTATATGGTGATGAAAAGCATCACTAAATACAAAGACAAAAATGCTTATTGTGCAGTTGTACCTCAACCCTTTTTGTTGTGATGTCAAAATAGACTTTAGAGGACACTTCTTATGATGGTAGATTAGTACCACTAGCTTTATTGGATACTGTTGGTTTACAATAAAAATCAACTTCTATTTTTGGGATAAATAAAAATATGAAGCTTTTTAAAATTAATATTAACTATCTTAAATGGTTAATTTAACTACATTATCATCATTACGGTAATAATCATTAACTATTTCTGGTAATTAATAAGATGATGTCATTTCTAACGTCCAAGATTCATTGACATGAAAAAAAAAATTGATAACTTAATAAATATATTAATCGACTCCCATCTGAAAAAATTAATCAATTCGGTTCACCAGTAATGTTGAAATTCAAAAAATTTTGGTGCACTTGTTTTCATAGCGAGAAAAGATAATATATTTCTATCAACGATATTAAATAATGTTGAAATTCAAAAAATTTGGTGCACTTGTTTTCATAGTGAGAAAGGATAATGTGTCTATTTTTAGGATAAATAAAATTTTGAAATTTTTAAAAAATAAATATAATGGTCTCAAATGATTAATTTTAATAGTAGCTAACGACTTCTCAATAATTAAGTCAATGTCATCTCAAACGTCAAAATTTTGTAGATATGAAAAAAAAAATTTATAGCACAATAAATACGTTAGTAAAACCATCTAAAAAATTTGGTTGTTTTAGTCAACCAAAAATTTTGAAATTCAAATAATTTTGGTACGCTTATTTTCATAGCAAATAAGAATGATATATTTTTATTCAAAATTTTGCAACAAAAAATGCAGTATTTTTTTAGGATAAATAAAATTCTTAAACTTTTACAAATTAATATTAACAGTCTTTAGTGATTAAGTTTCACAGTAATATTGTTGTTATTATTTTAACAATAATTTAGGACTTGTCGACAAATGGGATGACATCATATCAAACATCAAAGATTTGTTGACATGAAAAAATATTTGATAGCATAATAAATGCATTAGTTATTTATCTCAATAAATTAATTGAGCTGGTCCACAAATGAGGTTGAAATTCAAAAAATTTTGGTACACATATTTTCATTGCAATGAGGAAAAATACATTTCTATCAACATTTTTTTAACAAAATAAGGTTTTTTTAAAATATAAATAAAATTTTTGAAAATTTTAAAAATTAATAGTAATGATTAAGCTTAATGGTATATCACATTCGTTACTTTAATGACAATCAACGACTTCTCGATAGTTTGGATGGTGTTATCCTGAACATCAAAGCTTCGTCAACATAAAAAAAAAAAAAAATTGATAGCATAATAAATGTGTTAATCCGTGCCATCTCAAAAATTTAATCACTTTGGTTCACCAATGATGTTGACATTCAAAAAGTTTAGGTACACTTATTTTCATAACAAGAAAGGAAAAATATATAGATTTCTATCAACTATTTTGCATCAAAACTAAATTTTTTAGGATAAATAAAATTCTAAAATATTTGAAATTCGATATTAACGGTCATAAACGATAAAGTCTAACGATATATTGTCGTCATCATTTCAACGATAATTACTGAATTCTCGATTTTGATGATATCACCTTAAAAGTCAATGATTCGTCGACACGGAAAAAGATTTGGTAGTATAATAAATGTGTTAATCGATGACATCTAGAAAAATATTAATCCACTAGGTCCACTAATATTATTAAAGTTCAAAAAGTTTTGGTGAATTTATGTTCATAAGTCCAAGAAATTTTAAAGTTAATTATTCAACCATTTTGCAAAAAAGCAAGATCTATGTTTAGGATAAATAATATTCTGAAACTCTTTTAAATTAATATTGGCTGTCCTAAACGATTGGGTTTAACGGAATATATAGTCATTATTTGACAATAATCACAAATTTTCAAGAATTAGGATGATATCATCTCAAACGTCAAACTTTCACCAACATGAAAAAGATTTGGTAATACACGAAATGTGTTAATCAGCACCATCGATCTTAAAAGACAATCAATTGTACCCACTAATAAAATATATCGATATTCAAAAAGTTTAGGTGCACTTATTTCAAAATAAGGAAGAATAATACATTTCTAATGAAAATTTGGAGGTTGACTACTCAACCATTACCTTTCAAACTACAAAAATTAAAATTGGCAGAGTTGATCCTTGCCCTCTTTTAACTACTCAAGAATCTTGTTTGGGGTCGAGAGAGATGGCAAAAGATCGGTCATTTTGGTCATGAACACCAGCACTTTTCTAGTGTGAACACTTTTGAGTTGGTTCTTGGATAAAGTTAGGTGGCCTTTGGACGAATGCATGACGGTGATGACGAAAGAAAAAGGACAAGTGAGCTAAACTTCCCGTGGTTCTCTTACCTTCGATTTGTAGTTTTTTTTCATGCAATTTTTAATAGTCTCAATTGTCACGTGGAATTTTTTTGGCCCCTTTTTTTTGTTGAAGAAAAACAACCTTTCCTTTTGGCCTCTTTTCTCCTCTCCATGCCATGATGCATCACGCAATCTTGTCTGCGTAGGTGTTCCTTTTCAGCTTTCCTCCCGTCCTTGGTTTTATATTTCTTGTGTTATACTTGCTCATGACGGGAAAAAGTTGATTAGTGCAGATGTAAAATTAGGGTGAGAAGGCAATACCCCGTCTTGAAGATGAGTTTTTTGGATGTTTATTTAAAATTTTACTGTAACTTATTGTAGAAATTTTTAAAAAAAATTTGTGAAGGGTGTTTTTTTTTTTTGAATATTTCGAAGTGTATAGTTTAAAATTTTTGAAAAGTTTTTTGAGATTACTGTAGCTAAAATTTTTATAGGGTATGATGCTGGAGTTTTGTTCATATTAGCCTTAAGGAGTTTATTATGTAAATAATTATTTCCTCAGTATTTGCCTTGTCTTGCAGCTTTTGGCAAATTTCAACTTACTGATTGACAAGGATTTAGGTAAGTTGATTGCCTGTGCAACCTGTCTAAGCATTGGGTTGACTAATCACTGTGTTCAGACATAATCAAGAGAACAATATTAAACATGAAATCCCATAAGGGTTCTCTTGATAAATAAACTTTTTAGATAATGGGGAAATAGAAATGTAATTTTGTTGTCATGCTAATTGTATAAATTATCCATGAACATTAGTGATTGAAAAGCACTCTTCTTTCTTTTTTTTTTTTCGTATTGGCCTATTTAATTTAGTGATTGAATAATATATATTTTTTACTTTTTATATATAATTACTAAACTTTTTTCTTACGAGCACAATTTAAAGAATGAGTAATCATCCAACATATCCCGATCCGATATTTAAACATTTCCTTCTAAATTGTTTTTCATACTTGTGGATTATCTTTTGTACTTCTATCATTTCGAAACCCAAAAAAAATAGAGGGAAAAAGATTTGCTATGATTTACACATTAATTAAAGTTATTGTCAACGATGAACATTTCAAAGTATCAAAATTTTTTGGGCTGCATGAAACAACAATATTCTTCCACTCACCAGAGACATGTGCTCATGCTAGCCATTAGTAAATTTGACATAATATCGCGTTTAATGAAGTTTCCAATGGTTGGTTTGAATATTAGAAATAATCAAAGAATGATGCAAATTAATATAAGAATGTGAACCAAAAGAGGTTGCTTTATAATTGGCCGTCAGGCCACGGAAAAATAAACAAATAGGGTCTAAAAACATCACTACGACAGATGTTTTCCCTATATTCAATATCATTTAGTAATAGAGAATTTAATGAAATAAACAAAATTAATATTTTCACGTCACAGAATTTGTTGGATGATACTAATTTTTTAAAAACAACATATTTTTTGCTCGAAAAGAAAAATAAAGCACTAGCAAACCAACAAAATATTTTTTTCGCACGTGCTCAATTTCTTAATAGTTCAATTGTTGATAAATATATACTCATAAATTATTTCCTGAATAATACATACAGGTTTCGAATTCTTAAGATAGTTTTTCCTTTCTTAAAATGTTCTTTTTTTTTTTTTTCACATTGGTGGATCATGTCTGTACCTTTAGCATGTAGCATGTTCAATGATAGTCTGGAAAATTCCTTTTTTTTTTTTGGTGGCTTCAATAGAAGTTTAGTGTTGCTAAACTTTAATATTTTTATGGACGAAGTTGATAAGCGTTTCAAGTAAACGATCGGGCTGTGCACTAGGAGGTTTTAGTGTCATAAATTATTGAATATTTACTCAAAGATGTGTCCTTGAGTTGACTCCATGTATCCGTAGACCTGCACTTCAAGCTCATTTTATGGAACGTCACAGTCCATAAAAGGTCGAAGTTAAATTTTTATTTTTATTTAACTTTTTAGGACAGTAGGCAGAGTATGAGGAGGTTTAATGAACTCCCAAATCTCTCAATAATAATATCTTGAGAAATACCGCACAACTAGTCGCTACTCCATTTTCAATATCTCCAAAAGGCCAAAATATTAGTATTTATTTATACAATATTCCAATATAATTATATTGCTTTTATTGTGGGTCTTCCCAAGAATAAAACATATCAAAGCCCATGTTTTTTTTTTCTATTATTAAGCTTCCTTATATTTGTCAGCCCGAAAATGACCTCTTTTCCAAAATAACCAAATTGAAAAAATAAAATTTGACGCAACAAGAAGGTATACGAGAAACATATGCCAAATGTAAATGGGATGAATTTACAAAGTGACACGGAAGAGTAAACGGAAGGTAGAATTACTCGATCAGGGATGAATTTTAAACCTTTGTTTAGAGAATGTGCTGAAGACTAGTAAACTGATGATTACGAGAACAGCTTTCTTTCTAAATTCCGCCCTAGAAAAAAAATTTTTTAAGTTGCCTAGTGCTTCTAGAGTAATAAATTAGCTTTGCTATATATTGAGGCGTTGCACTTGCTCATCTCTCAGTTATAATTTGAATTTTTTTTTTTTTTTTGGGACAATAACTCCAACTTTTTGTTTGATTATGGGAAACTCTGTAAACTCTCCCAGAAGTTTTCATCTTCCCATTGGCCTGTTAAGTATTACGACATCTTTGCCCTGGCAAAAAATATTCCAGCAAATAAACCTGAAAACTGTATCGAGTTAGTCTCACTGTATCAAACAAAATAACAAACGAAAATTTTTAGCAAATAGGATTGGCAGCAAACTGACCAAATAGTATGCTGAAGAAATTGGGAAAATTGACAGGAACCCTGAAAACTATGATTCCAGCGATAGAAATAGGAATCTTGTTTAAGGAACCGACCAGACTGCAATTAAGCAACAAAAAAGATGTGGTAAGCTGAAACAATGTCAGAGTAAGAGAAGGCAGAAAGCTTAAAACAATGTTCGATTTTCTTCTGATTTGTATATCAGGCATACCCAAGATAATTTCGCATGAGTACCTGTAAGTCGTAGGACTAGTTTGATTTAAAAACCACATAGAGCTGAAGCTGATAGCAAGTCCAAGCAGCCCACTAGCTGTCGCAACAACCCAAAACATTGGCATCCTTACAACATTCCTGCACCAGTTAAAACAGTCATATACAATAGTATTTTCTCCCCTCCGCCCTCTAGTGTAGCACAAAAAGTAACTGCTTATCAAAGAGGTGCAAAATAGCATAATAACACAGCTTGAGGATGAAGGCACATACGCGTTAATTACATAATCCCATTCATTGAACACAAGAATCAACAAGACTGCAAATGGTAAAGATAATGAATTGTTTAGTAACACCATCGAAACTTCATTAAGTGATCCAGATTTTGTCAATTGCTTAGCTCTGTCCATAACTCGTCGCAAAGTGAGCTGCAGCATGAAAATACACAAAATTTTAGGTAAATGCACAGGAGAATGCTTCAGGTTGTCAATGTTATTTCAGATTTGTCAATTGGTTTCTCTGTCCGAGTTAAAGAAGTATACCGAGTAACTTGCAGTTAAAATGCAGTTCAAAGTTTGCCACGCATAACCCGTGGGATCAAATGAGAGATCTGTTACTCCTCCACTTATGGCAGATGTTATCTGCAATGAAAAAACACAAACTATCAGAGATTTCACTGTGAACCCCAATTTTCTCCCCTCCCTTGCTCACAATATTCCCAACTATTTTAGACAGGGCAAGGCGTGGAAGAGTAAAATTGCAGAGTGATTCAGATAAGAGGTTTGAAACACATGAATAGTAGCAAAAGCAGAAAAGTAACATCGTGGGACAATAAAGTTTTTCATTGAACTGCAGATCAAGCATGGACCAGAATAGCTAAAATTTATGCAAGAGGTCATATGTCAAAAGTTCCAATTTTTCTTGGACAGTCAGGTCAATGGAGCCTCAACCGCTATACCCAAAACAATCATCTGATTAGTTTTTATACAAAATTTAACAGATTTTGATTTCATTATAGAACTCTTAAAGGAGCAGAAAGAAAATCCTTTTCCAGATTCAGTGGAGCAATTCTTATGGTATACCTCTTCGAAATGAGTTGAAAAAGCACAACAGCATTGTCTAAGACTGCCCTTACTCACAAGTGTTAACTTATGAAGACTACTGTTCAAAAAGACCTACTGCTACCAAGACATACTTTACTAATGATGAGAATTTGGATACTAGGGACAATGGAATAACTGGACTTGCAGTTAAGTACTCTACTAAGAATGATAACATAAACTACTTGATTCCAAAATCATATCTATAGGCAATTAGCTTAAAAGCATCACAGTCATAGGAAAGAATGTAAGTACCATAAGAAACATCGCAGTCCACACTTTGTGATTCTGACGCTTCCGGAAAAGATAAAATTCTCCAATTGCTGTTAAAATATTTGTCACATTCTTCAGAATTGTCACCATTGCAATATTTATGTATTTCAGACTGAAAAGGTTCACAAGAAATATCCTTGGGTCAATGATATGAAAAAAAATCTCCCTAAGAAAATTTTCTAAACTAGAATGCACAAGTGATGCTTTTCCAGCTGTGACAGCCACTACAGCACAATAGAACGTACCTGTACATGCCTGATACAAGCATCCCAATGAATATTAAGTTAACAGGAATCCAGACTTTAATAAGTTTCCAATTTAGCTTTTCCACTGAAACAGCTCCACAGAGACCCAAAACAACAACAACAAGAGAACTGATAAAATTCTGCATAAAGTAACACAAACAATTAAGCTACATCAACATTCACTAATTCCTTAAATGAATTCCACCCAAAAAGATAAATATTTCATGCGAAAGGAAAAGTGGAATTGTACTCTAATAAGAGAACAATAGAAGAATCAAAGTTTAGCAATAATTAGTAGATCATTAAGGAAAATGGTGCAGGCATACAGCACAACTTTTTTTACTAATAGAAAAGACACAGAGAACTACTAATTCGAGATACCTGGTAAAACATAAGTGAAATTCCAGCACTGAAAGCATAGCTTGATAGGACAATTTTGTTCAGTAAGATCATGCTGCAAGAAGAAAGGCAATAAGCAGTCCCAGCTACTAGAGGTCCAGATTTTCTTCCAAATCCATGCACCTGTTTCTCATTTCCATTGAAGAGAAGACTCACAATTTCACCTAACGCTGCACGGTTCCCTTTGAAAAACCTGCAATATGAGAAAGGATTTATGCATTAATCGATCAATAATTTGTTCTCAAAGTCATGGTTTCAGGGCAGGGCACCATTGACATTCCAAATGGTTAAACAAAACCCCCTTTTGGCAACTTTAGTTTGACACTCAACAAAGCCACCTATGGAGATTTAGTTAACAGATGACACGAGCACTAAAACCTAGTTTCTGATTCCTTAATAACTGAGGATTGATCTTGTTGATGATGTATAACAAATGAAAAGAATCAAAAGCAACACAAGCATTTAGCCCAAAAGCTGGAAGAGTGGATAATTCTGCTTATAGGTGCATGTCATTTCCTGATCATGATACTTGAAGAAGTAGAGATCGAAAAAGCATATACCATTCCAGTCTATAAACACAGAAACGTGAGTGGATAATTATGCTTATAGGTGCATGTCATTTCCTGATCACGGTACTTGAAGAAGAAGAGATCGAAAAAGCATATACCATTCCAGTGTATAAACACAGAAACATTGAATAACAACTGATTCAAAGACAAATCTGCCAGAGAAAAAATCGACTCTAGATACCCAAAATCAATAAGATGTGCTAAAAAGTTACTTGCCCAGCATAAATAATTTTAAAAAAACAAAACTACCACCTGTGACTTGCTGCTGCCCTGCGCTCTGCTGTTGTTGGTGAATCACTAACTGACCAGTCTCCATGACTACGAAAACCATCTTGTATCTTGTGGACCTCATTCTTTCTATGACTAAACGATCCATCGCCATCCAAGTGGTTTAATGCTGGTTCCTCTCCATTCTTGCAGACAATTGACTCCAGCTTAATTTCAGACGACATGGAGCCTTACCTGTTTTAGAAGATCAAAAAGAACAATAACAATTATAAGGGAACCGGGAACAAGATGAAGTACTGCTCAAAGACTCAAATTGCTATGAAACACTTCCCAGTAATAAGATTTCTACAAATAAAAATTGTCACAAAAATTATAAGGCCATTCAAGCTGGGGTTCACCCCCCAAAAAAAGGGGTAAAAATCGCGATTCGATGTTTTACGGAAAACGATCAAAAAAATGTGAAGTCAATCAACATTGCGGGTAATGAACTGAATGAAACATAATGAATTACCTTCCAAACTGCGCCAATCAGCAAAAATAAGGTAAGTTTCTCTTCCCTCAAGCCCTGGAGCGATTTATCATCTGATTAAACAATAAAATCGCAATCAAAATCTGGAAAACAGGATCGGCGGCTTCTGACCGCAAAAAGATAAAAGAAAAAAAAAAGAGATGATAGGAATAAAAATTAGGGAAACACGATCGCAACTATGAAGACAGCAAAATAAGAAACGACGAAAAGCCCTCACACAAGCGCGGAAGGCGTGAGTTTCAGTGCAACTTGAAGCTTTCCCCAAAGCACGCAAAGGAATCACAAGAAGGCGTGGATCTGAGTAATACCCCCCCAGTAATTGTACACAAACCCTAGGGCATCGCAAATTGTCAAGCATTTTTTATAGGAATTATTAAAATGGGAGAAATTATTGTTACAGTGTGTGCTCTGCTTTGTTGAGGAGGAAGCGAGATTCCAGGGGGTGTAATGTGATGTAAGAACCGCCCAATCTCCAAACATATGAATTCTTTGAGATCGGAACAGCTTTCGAGGATTTCAAAAGTCAAAGGTCTCACAAAATTCATTCTCAAATACTAATAATTACTGCTTAAACCGCAATCTACAACACTACATGATGATGAGAGAGACTGCTGCGCTTTCGTATTATTTTTTTGAATTTGTGTACACTTCTTAATATGGCGGGGATTCCAGTGGGCTCCGCCCGAATGCACTAGATGTGGGGTTTTATTGGGCTCGATCCGTAACGCAACGGCCTTTGCTTTTTGTGGACTTCTGGGCCAAAACTGTGATGCGTGGATGAATGAGTGATGGAACAACTCTCTTCTAAAAATAGAATACTCTAAGGTTCTGTTTGGATTAGTAATTTTTAGGGTATTTTTAAAATATTTTATTGTAACAATGTAGGTGAAAAATCTTTACTGTATACGAGATAGTTTTTGTATTACTGTAACATTGTATATAGACTGTAACATTGTTTTCAGAAAATGACCAATCAAAACAGAGCACTTGTTATTAATTACTGAAAAAACAAATGATAGAGTAGTGTGTTTTGGATGAGAGATTATTAAAAATAATTACTGTAAAAACAAATGATAGAGTGGTGTTTGGTTGCATCTTCTTCTGCCTTCTTTCTTTCGTTTGAGAGAGAGTCTGAGTCCACGTGCAACTGTAAATACTCAATCAGTAATTAAATCGAAAAAAGAAAGAAAGAAAGAAATTGTGGGCTTGGTCTCGTTGCTACCTAATCGTGGACCTTTTGGTCGATTGAAGCAAAAAGTGCATAAAGACTTGAGCACTTACAGCATATTTTTTTTCCTAGCAAGAAACACACACAGTTAATTAGCTTAAAAACACTCAGAAAGTCATGACTAAATTGAGTCAGAAGACTAATTTAGGGGAGGCCCACAAATCAACATCATCTAACCAATTGGTAACAAGAGGTGTGGTCATAATTGAGAACCTTAAATCCAGGTTAAAGAACCTACAATCAAGCGATGCCATTATTGATTGACACACCGTACCAGATTAAAAAAATGTGCCATTATTGATTTGCCTCCGGAGCCCATTTCCTATCTCAAGTTAGTTAGCTTCAAATTCAATAGGGGATAATTGCAGAAACCTCCCTTGAAGTTTCTGACATTTGCACTAACCTCCCTTGTAGTTTAAAAAATTACATTAACCTCCCCTGAGGTTACTAATCCTTCACAAATTTAGTCCAAAGGATTAAAATATTATTTTAGGGAGTGAAATTATAATTTTTTTATCAAATTTGTCCTTTATACTACATGTCCAATGAATGACAAAGTACTATAAATCAATTAACAATTAATAAACTTTAAGGAGTATAATTTATGGGCAAACACGTATTACTCATTTAAAGTATGTTGACCTAATCAGCACCATCCTTCAGATCCTGGCTCGAAAGGGCTAACCGCTCAACCCGTGGCACCCAGGGGTGCAACCCCTCATGCTGGCCGAAAGTGGTACGGTGCTTTGCGCTGCCATTGTGGTTAAGGAAATAAAGTTGCGCTTTTGCTAATAGTTATAGTTTTTGGTGTAATGGTAAACGCTTGATCCTAACAAAGTACCGGCTTTTTATAGGTATTTTACTTTCAAATATTTAATTTATGATAAATATATCAACATTTGTAAGTAAATTCAAAAATTGTTATAGAAATATTCTTGCAAAAAGGAAATCGATAGGTTATTTATTTAATATAAATTAAATATTGTTAAAAAAAATAAATGGCCCATAAAGTATTAATTTTTTATAACTTTCATCCATTACACGAGTAATGTATTCGCTCTTTATGTGCATTTTATTCTGAATCATTTAATTTATATTAAATACATAAATGTTTGTAACTAAAATTGAAAAAGTGTTATATTAATATTTTTACGGAAGAGAGATTGGTAGGTTTTGTATTTAACAAAAATTAAATATTTGAAAGTAAATACAAATATGTATTTGAGAGTAAATATTTGAAAATAAAATACCCTTAATGAACTGGTACTTTAAATAGTTACCGCCTCTTTATAGGCAAACACGCATTACTCATTTAAAGTAATGGCTTTTTACGAATATTTTACTTTCAAACCTTTAATTTATGATAAATATATCAATATTTTTAAGTAAAATTCAAAAAGTATTACAGTAATATTCTTGCAAAAAGGAAATCGGTAGGATATTTATTTAATATAAATTAATATTTTTTAAAAAAAAGAAATGGCGCATAATGTATTAATTCTTTATGACTTTCATCCATTATACGAGTAAAGTATCGGCTCTTTATGGGTATTTTATTTTGAATCATTTAATTTATGTTAAATACATAAATGTTTGTAACTAAAATTGCAAAAGTGTTATATTAATATTTTTACGGAAGAGAGATTGGTAGTTTTTGTATTTAACAAAAAATAAATATTTGAAAGTAAATACAAATATGTATTTGAGCGTAAATATTTGTATTAAATTAAATGTTTGAAAGTAAAATACTCATAAAGAGTCGGTACTTTAAATAGGTAATGCGTATTTGCCTATAAATTATACTCTTTAAAGTTTATTAATTGTTAATTAATTTGTAATAGTTTTTCATTCATTGGACATATAGTACAAAGGACAAATTTGGTAAAAAAATTCTAATTTCACTCCCTAAAATAATATTTAATCGTTTGGACTGAATTTGTAAAGGATTAGTAACTTCAAGGGAGGTTATGTGATTTTTCAAACTATAAGGGAGGTCAGTGCAAATATCAGAAACCTCAGGGGAAGTTTCTGCAATTATCCCATTCAATATTTTCGGAGGCTTTTAAAAAATCATACCCGCCCAATAAGTCTCTGATGTGATGATAATTTAGGGATTCACAGTTGAGTTGGGTGTCTAATAATTTGGACAGCCACCCCACCTGTGTTGCTGATAATTGATAACATCAATATGATGGTGAAAACGTACCTTTCTTCATGTCCTTTTTCTAGACAACAATTTTGTTAAAAAGCCCCTAAACATTTGATGGTCAAGTACTCCTATGTGCCAACTAGCAGCAAGGAATAACTAGTGGATTATGGTTATAGACACTATAGTATCGTCCAACTAGTAAGGAGTAAGAATTTATTGAGTTCAACTAAATGATCATCGCTTCTGAGGATTCTTGTAAGCATAGGTCTTAGACCTAGGACAATCTTCCATGGATTAGACCTAAGAAATGCTTTGGCCATGGTTTTGCAAAGTGTATTATGATGTATCTCAAAGTATATATAGCCCGTACATTTTACGGGCAAAAATAAGCTTCAGATTTGGAGTCTCTTCTTTAACATTTCCTTTTTAAAAAAAATTTCATATGCTAGCTAGATACGTAATCATTTCAAATTAACCCACGCCTCAAGTCAGCAATAACTTTTCTTGACTACTTAAATTTTACATATGAATAAAAACCACTGCAATAACACGAAATTTGCCAAGAAATTAAGGTTGTGTTTAGATTAAAATTTTTTGGATTTTTTTTTAATATAAAATGTACCGTAGCAATTTGATACATGCGAGATAAAAAGGTGATTGAAAAATATGTTCACAGAAGACAGACGTAGAGATTTTTTTTTGATAGAAAATCCCTTTCCAAACATGTTCTAGGGCAGGAACGAGATTATTAATATTAGGAAGTCCAATCCTTTCCTCTTTCGTTCGATAAAATACTAGCATCCCTCTTCAGTCTTCTCAATCATCATGCAACAACTTTCAGGTTTGGATGAAAGCTAGCCATCTTCCATAGCCATGGCCATAGCCATATAGGGTGCTTCAATGAAGACCAGTTAAAGGTCAAATTTGGTCTGTCCCCGTCCTACGCATAACTACTTTGATTTCTCTAACTGATACTGCTAAACTAAAAGAGCACAATCAGCACTAACCACAAGAACATATAAAAATCTGTCACAGACAGTCCACACTAATTCAAGCACTGATTACAAAGCTCACACCCGCACGGGATCAAAATTACACAGTATAGACTATCACGAAACAAGGAAGCACCGCCCTCGGATTAAAAACCAACAACTCATCCTCTTCGTCCAGTCTAGCAGGCACCCCATTCTCCCTGCCCACCAATGAGTCGAACCCGGGATCCAGCTTATCCGCGTCTTCCGGGTCGCATCCTATCCGACCCGCAATGACCCGGCAGACCAGCATGGCCCGCTTCACGCGCAAGTACTTGAACTCCTCCTCCATGTCCTCGGGGATGGACGCGTGTGCCCTCCAACTGGTGGAAAGCGTGGAGATTCCGTCCATCTTGGGCGAGAACCCGCTTGCTATGATCCCGCACACGCTGCAGTACTGATGATTGCACAAGCTGGAATTGCCATTTTGCCCCAGCTCACACAAGAACGTCGTGCAATGAAACCTCAACAGCTCGTTCCCGTCAGCGATACACCTCTCGTCCCGCCTCCTGACGCCGCCGTTCCCCGCTGCTGCTGACATCACGCATTCCCTGTACTCCTCGAACCTCATCAGTATCTTGGGACCGCAGTGAATCTTCAGGATCCGATGGACGGCCGGGCTCTTCGCCATTCCGGGCCAACCCGTTCTGAAGATGATGTTGACGATGTTCTTGCCCGTGTCCCCGTCAACGAGCTCCGAAACCGCGTGCTTCACGGACTGATGCTGTTCGAGGAGGCTGGGGTTCTGGAAGATTTCGCCGCAAATTGGGCAAGGGTAGATGTTGTTCCGGAGAGGGAAGAAGGGTTGGTCGGAGGAGATATCGGACTCGGAAACGGGTCGGATACTAGTCTGGTGGTCCGAGAGGAGGGTGTCGGATGAGCCGAGATGGATGGCGGTAGCGGGTTGTGTTAAGGATCTCGTAGAGGAGGAAGGTGAGAGGATGGGGATGGCGGCTGGTGATGATGTTGGGGTGGCAGGCTTGGAGCAGAAGGCGCGTTTGAGGAACGACCAAGAGGAGGAGAGAGCCTTAGAAGGCGTGAACTTGAGACGAGAAGCTGGCGGAGAAGGGGTTACTGGGGTGTCAGATAGCTTCCGCTTTTTGGATTGGCGGTGAGAGGAGGAGGAGGAGGTGTTGAAGATGAAGCAGCCAAGGTGGAGG